TTGGTAGCCCAGGCTGGCCTCGAACTCACAGAGATCCGCCTGCCTCTGCCTCCCGAGTGCTGGGATTAAAGGCGTGCGCCACCACCGCCCGGCCCATAAAGGATGTTTTTAAACAGCAGCAAAACTAGGCACATACTGTGTGGACCTGGAGAGCTGAGAAAAAGATGGACCAGAGTTCCCAATCAAGTGGACAGTGATAAAATCCAACCCATAAATTTTGTGTTTCCCTCAGAAAATTTCAAAAACAAAAATACTAATTGTCAATAGTTAAAAACTTAAAAGATTTCACACAAAACTCAGGGGTATTTGTGGTGGTTTCAAGGAAAATGGCCTGAAAAAGGAGTGGCACTATTGGGAGATACAGCTTGGCTGGAGTAGGTATGGTCTTGTTGGAGAAGTGTGTCACTATGGAGGTGGGCTTTGAGGTCTCATATGTGCTCAAGTCATGCCCAGTGTCACAGACCACTTCCTGTTGCCTGTGAGTCAAGATGTAAGAACTCCAGCTCTTTCTCTAGCATCCTATCTGCCTCTATGCTGCCTTGCTTCCCGCCATGACAGTAATGGACTAAACCTCTGAACTGTATGCTAGCCACCACAACTAAATGTTTTCCTTTATAAGAGTGGCTGTGGTCATGGTGTCTCTTCACAGCAATAGAAACCCTAACTAAGGCAGTATCTATTATCTCTTGAAACCCCAGGAGATATAGTATGTTGAGAGGACAGTATCAACAGATCCATAATCCCCCTTGGTGCAAGTCCTGGAGCTGGTGATGGCTAGTGTACCCTCTAGCCTAGCACAAACAACTGCCTTTTGCTTGGGTGTGGTCTTTGCCTGGAGTCATATACTCTGGAGCTTTAGAAGGCACCCCCTACCCACCTCTGCTGCCACCTAGTCAGTATATTGTCTTAGATGTCTCAGAGGAGGAGTTCTAATGTATACAGTTAACTACTGACTGGCTCAGACACAAGGCACAGGGAGAAACTGAAGGGCTCCGTTCAGTGGAAGTCATTGTTTCACAGAAAATGGAGCCAACATGAAGAGAAGACAGTTTTGGGAGACTCACGAAAGCAGTAGATCTTGCCTCACTAACAACCTGCTTATCATCCTCATAGGAATTCACACTTGTGTCTCTGCCACTCCGGAAAGGCAACATCACTATAATGAAGAGAGGCGTTTTCTGCTCTTCCACTGCTAAGACTCAGAGTTGTCTCCTCTAGAAAGTCACAATCTAAGCAGTCATGTCAAGGATATAGGTGCATTTAATACTCTTCAGTTACATTAGAGATTAATAAGGCGATCAAATTCCAGGTGTTAATAACACCTAATCCAACCCTTTTTTCCTTCTGTTAATCAAATGCCTAGCTAAGCAAGATGAAAATTGCTAAAATATGTTAATGGAAAAATAGAATAGTATCTCAGAGACATTATTTCAACTCACATAAAGTCACTGAAAATAGTCCAGCAATCTGTGTTATTTGCATGAAATACACAGTTAAAAGCCCTTTAAGGAGTTATGAAAGAAAGCAAAACTACTCACGACAATTCATTACTTCCATTTTGATCTGTGTCAATTAAGTGCCTGGCATGTACCATGGGCCCCATTAACAACTGTCTCCTTTTCTTCCTTCTACTGTTCATTTTCACTCAAGAAACACTAAATCGGGGCTGGAGAGATGGCTCAGAGGTTAAGAGCACCGACTGCTCTTCCAGAGGTCCTGAGTTCAATTCCCAGCAACCACATGGTGGCTCACAACCATCTGCAATGAGATCTGGCGCCCTCTTCTGTATACATAATAAATTAATAAATCTTTAAAAAAAAAAAAAGAGTGGCCGTGGTCGTGGTGTCTCTTTGCAGCAATAGAAAACTTGACTAAGACAGGGACGCACAGCCTACCCCTCTGTCCTGAAGGCCTAAGAGAAGATGACCAAAGTACCGAATCTGCTGAACAGAAGGCAGCGCCCCATAAGGTCAAAGCGGACCCAATGCCTATATCATGTTAACCCTGGAGTCTGCAGGGAGCTGGGCAGCAGATTAGAGCCTTCCCAGGGAGGGGCCAGTGGGAGCCAGGCCAGCAGGACTGCCTGGAATCTGGGCCCAGGGCTCTCTTGAGAGAGCTGAAGAGGTTGTCATTCAAGAGCAAGGATAAAATAACAGGCTTCTGCAGCCCTCAAAAGCAACCCTATCTCTCTCTCCTGGTGGCCAAATCCCATGTGTTCACAATAGGATGGAGACACTGTAAAAAGACATCTGACTGGTGGCCCCAGCTATCTCCGATCTGACCTTCTGTTCCCGTTTCAGACTTCAGAGTGGAGTCTCCTTGTCCCGGCTGCTGGTTCATATTTTCTTCTGCATTCGCTCCAGGCATCTTCAGAGACCCAGGCAGAAACCAGCCAAGTGGAGACCTGGTTTTAGAACCGCGTGGCTCTGCCACTGTCTCCCTTCTCCCGCTGATCTCCTGGCATGGCTAGCTTCATCATGGGTTTGAGCATGTGATGAAACTGGAGTATGAGTGGAGAGCTTCTGTATAGATGTGTCCCCAGATGACGCCACCATCTGTGACCCAGGAGCAGTATCTGGGTGGCTGGCAGGGATCTGAGCTCTATGAGGCTGGAAGCAAAGCAAATTTGGTGGCAGTCCGGGTGATGGATGTGACAGCCTGCAGCATGGGCCTTGTTCCTAGGCTGCTGGCTAAGTCCAGACCTCTGCTTGAAGTGGCCTAGGTGTCCACAGCAAGTGGGGCTTGGCTCCAACATGGAAGGCCCTTGCTTGCTTTGTGGCTTTCTCTGGACCAGAGTGAGCACCCTGGCCATCTTGTTGAAGTCAAGGATGGTGTCAGAGCTCAGGTCACATCCTGCCTCATTCCCACATCAGGTCTAAGCCCTACCTGCTGCCAAGAAGGTATTGGTAACTCATCTGTAACCTCCAGGTGGGCCCACTTCCAGTAGGCTATGAGGATCAAGAAAGAACATCTGATTTACACCATTGCTGTGTCTGCGGGTCAGAAAAAGTGCCCTGATTGTCACCCTCTTACCCACCTTAGCTGACAGCGAGTATGATGATCTTCTCCTCCTTTGCTCACGGCAGGGTGAACTTAAGTGAAAATTGTGACATTCTCCCCACCCCCTGCCCGCAAAGTTCCTTTTTTTTTTTTTTTTTTTTTTTTGTTTGTTTGTTTGTTTTTCGAGACAGGGTTTCTCTGCGTAGTTTTGCGCCTTTCCTGGAGCTCACTTGGTA